TTATTTATTTGTTTATTTGTTTATTTGTTTATTTATTTTTATTTATTTGTTTATTTGTTTATTTATTTATTTATTTTGTTTTTTTTATATTTGTTTTTTTATTGTGATTATAATGATGTGTTTATGGTGGTGGGGTTGTAAACAGCAGCAACTGGCAATCAACGCCAACCTAAGCAAACAGATATATTTATTTATTTATTTATTTATTTATTTTGTTTATTTATTTATTTATTTTATTTATTTATTTATTTTGTTTATTTATTTATTTATTTTATTTATTTATTTATTTATTTTGTTTTTTTTGGGTTAGGTTTGGTGTTGTGATTATAATGATGTATTTATTTTTTTATTTTTTTTTGTTGTGGTGGGGTTGTAAACACCATCATATTTATTTATTTATTTATTTATTTATTTATTTATTTTATTTATTTGTATTTAAACTCTATAAACTATAATCTAGAATCTAGGGTTTAGGGTTTAGGGTTTAGGGTTTGTGTGCAGTGTTGGTGCGAGGGTTTAGGGTTTAGAGTTTATTGTTTAGTGTTTAGGGTTTAGGGTTTTTTGTGCATTGTTGGTGCGATTTTAGGGTTTTAGGGTTTAGGGTTTAGGGTTTAGGGTTTAGGGTTTAGGGTTTAGGGTTTAGTGTTTTGTGTGCAGGGTTGGTGTGAGTATGTATCTGATCACCGTTGTGTGTCTTTGCTGTCTCCTTTTATAAATTACGATGAAAAGAGAAAAGGAGACAGTTTATATTTATTTATTTATTGGGGTATTGTTTTGTCTTTTTGTTTGTCTCCATATATAAATTATATAAATAAAGAAGGAACAGAAACACAAACCCTAAACCCTCTTACGGGGCCCTCAGGGTTTTGTCAGGCAGCAGAGCTGCTGCATGCAACAGAGTTGATAGATGTAGAGGCATCTCTACCCCGCTGGGCTGCTGCTGCTGCTGCTGCTGCTGCTGCTGCTGCTGCTGCTGCTGCAGCAGCAGATACAGAAGCAGACACAGCTGCAGCAGCGGGAGAAAAAACTACCAACGGCGCAGCAGCAGCTGCAGCAGCAGCAACTAAAACACCAGCAGCAGCAACAGCAACAGCAACAGCAGCAACAGCAGCAGCAGCAGCAGCAGCAGGAGAAGAGGATGATCCAGCAGCAGCAGCACT